ATATATATATATATATATATATGTATATATATATGTGTGTGTGTGTGTGGTTTTATTAGTTTTTTTTTTCTTAATTCCTAATTCGGGATTAAAATATCCCAATCGGGATTGAACCAATTCCCGATCCCGATCCCGTATTAGTTCCTAATCCCGATCCCGAATCCCGTAATCCCGAATTCCCGAAGTTTTTGTCCCAAATAGTAAAATTCCATTCGGGACGGGACGGGATCCCGAATCCCGATCCCAAAGTCCCAGCCCTACCTTTACGACTACCCCTAAGGTAAGATCAAATTACAAAAAAAAATCTTCATATTTGGATGATTACGACATGTCGACGGTATATTGTCTTACACGTTCAGTCTTGAAAAAAAAAATTAAAAGAAAATGAGAAATGGAGGTTGGATTGGGGCTCGTGCATGAATTGGAGGTTGCACGTTTTATAAAGGCGCGTCCACACTTATTCACGTGTTTTGGTATTCCCCAATCTACCTTATTCGACAAAACCAAAAGGGGCCCTAGTATATATATATATATATATTTCAAATATCAATGTATTTCTAAATTAAAAATATAATTTTCAATAAATAAATATATTCGGCTGCATAATCCTAACGATAGGCACAACCGGTTGGTTGCTGACCACGTGGCATTCGTATCTGTCTGTCAACGTGGTTCCTCACTTGCATTTGTCTCACAATGAAAGAAACAAATTCCAACAAACTGCAAATTTTATCATAAATATAGAGCTTCGCATATTAATGTTATTAGATAAGTATGTAATAAATGAATAAAAGAAATAAAAAAAAAAAAATCATTAACGAAATTTTGGAATTTGAGTAATTTTGCAGGATTTGACCGAGAAGTCAGTATTTTATGTTCTTGACATCGAATATTGTTTACAATTTATGTTAAATAAATTAATAACATCCTCAAATAAGATGTTTTCAATGTGTTTCAAAATATATTGTTAAATTTATATTTAACTAAATTAATAGAATTTGATTGATCACAATTGTATTTATTTATAAATGTTTAACTGTAATTTGGCCTTGTTTGACAGTCAAAATAGAATTAACCAAAATAAAATTATGCTATTTTATAAGCAATCAAATGTACAATTGGTGACTCAATTGATAACATGAATCTGGACACAAATTCAATGAATTGCTGACTTTTTGTGGGCAATTTGTATGGTCATCTGGAAACACCAAGAACAAAAATATCAGAAAAAGTGGGCCCATTTTTGTCCAACTTGCACACACAAAGAATCATAAAAAGGCCCCATTAACTCCAAATTAAGATCTATTGACTTCGTTAAACAGATCGTATTAAAAATTACCATCTACTTGTCCAGTTAATGAAGGGTTCGTTTGACTAAATTTATTTCAAACAGCTGATAAACTATTATATTTGATAAATTATTTGTTGATAAGTTATTATATCTAATATTGGAATTAATTTTTAAAATTATCAAACACTTTGAAAAAAAAATTATAAGCTATTTTCAACAGGTTATAAGGTCAGCCAAACACTACTCAAAAGTTGTTTAGGTGATTAATTAAGTGAATGCTTTATAGCTAAGAAAACTATTTTAATACGATTATTAAACAAAAATGAAGGTGGTCCCTCACTTAAAACAAGCTTATCCGGTGCATAAGAGCAAAAATAATTATTTTTATATTTAAATAAAACGTAAGCAACAATCATAAGAAACTCATAATGATTGGCCTAACAAAGAGTGGGACAATTAAATTATAATTAAATAATTATTAAAAAAATTAATAAATACGAATAGGTTTTATTTTATTGTTTTTTGTGAAGCAGCAAAAAGCACAAATTCACAATTCCGTTATTTCAAGTAACATTCGAGGGTATTATAGTATTTTCACACACCCATTCATTGGCTTAAAAGATCAACATTTTCAAGCTAAGGAAAAGGAAAGAGAAAGAAGCATCGGAGAAGAAGAAATCGTCAGAATTTTCTCTCTCTAAATTCATACAAATTTCTTCTCAAGACCCTCACTCTTCTTGAATTTCCCTTCTCCCCCCTGTAAATATTTTTCTGTAAACGCTCAAAATCTGTACCCATTTCTCATCTCTGTATAAATCAATACATTTTTTTTTTGTTTCCCTCACAAATCTGCACTTGTAATTCTGTTTCAATTGTCGGTTCAGGTGTGTATAAATTTAGGTAGTAGTATTTGAAGGTATAGCAGGAATTAGGGTTTGAAATTGCTGTTACTATTCCGATTTTGTGTTGAAATTCGGTTTGAATTATGACGGTTCCGACGATTTTGCTTTACGGTAGCCCGAGCAGCGTGTGCTCCGCTCCGCACCCGATCAATTCCCACGGCTCGTACGAGCTAGAGGCGAACGCGCGGTCGTCTTCGTCGGCATCGGCGTCGCCGTCGCAGAAAACCTTGACCGGCGGGCTGTCGTGCTGGTTCTCCACGCCGCCGATTAAATCGGCGAGCGGTCCGACCGGGGCGGAGGAATTGGGTTCGTTGTGGCACGATAGAACCGATGAATTGGGGTCTTCGTATCGATACTCTTCGTTGACCTCGTATTCGAAACGAGACCAAGCTCATCAGAGCCCGGTTTCTGTGCTTCAAGGCCCGAATAGTTCAATCGGGTTGGGTTCTCGAAGCTCCCCCATGAGAATTAGCCCTAATTTGAACTCGATTAGGTCCGGGACTGGGTGCCTGTTCAACGGATTCGTGACGCATGCGTTGGGTTCGTGTGTGGACTACGATTCGCCGAGATTAGCGTCGGATGTCGAGGACTTCGATTATTCGTCCTCCTCGAACGAATATTCCTCGGAGAATCTTATTTTCAACATGGATGTCGATTCCCCGGAGTTGGATTTGCCGGATTATGCGAAAGACTTGCTCTCTGATGCGCAGTCGAGGCATTCGATTTTCCGGGATGATTTTGTCATCAAGGCTTTTTACGAAGCAGAGGAAGCTCATAGAGGCCAGGTACTTCACATTTTTCTTGCAATTTGTTTTTTGTTTTATAAAAAAATATTGTGGTGATTGAAACTCGAGCATTGTGATTTTTTTGATGTTTGTAGAAGCGAAAAAGTGGGCATCCTTATTTGCAGCACTGCGTGGAAACGGCGATTCTGCTTGCAAATATCGGTGCTAGTTCTACAGTAGTTGCTGCAGGGCTTTTGCACGACACCATTGACGATTCTTCTGTTACTTGTGAGCAAATTTCAGCCTCGCTCGGATCTGAAGTCGCTCACTTAGTCGAAGGGGTAAATTAAAACTTTATTTCTAAGCTTATTTGTTGAATTGTTTTGCTTATTTCCGTATAATTTAAGACATACGCATAGCTTAGTTCTCCGTGATTTTATGCCAGGTGTCTGAGCTGAGTCAATTGAGCAAGCTTGCACGTGAGAACGACACCGCCACTAAAACCGACGAGGCGGATCGAATGCATACCATGTTCCTTGCAATGGCGGATGCTAGAGCTGTCCTAATAAAGCTAGCCGATCGTTTGCACAATATGATTACCTTGGATGCGTTACCTCCAGCCAAACAAGAAAGATTCGCGAAGGAAACTTCCGAAATATTCGTGCCCCTTGCCAATAGATTAGGGATCTCCACTTGGAAAGAGCAGCTACAGAATCTCTGTTTCAAACACCTCAATTCAGACCATTACCAAGACTTGTCATCCAAGCTTGTCAAGTCCTATGACGAAGCTGCGGTTACTTCTTCTGTAGAGAAGCTCGAGCAAGCTCTCGAGAATGGATCGGTTTCTTACCACTGTTTATCGGGCCGGCATAAAAGCTTGTTCAGCATTCATTCCAAGATGTTGAAGTGCGTACGATTTCTCTTATATATATTATGTATGCATGGAAAGAAGCTAAAGCTAAATGTTATTATATTCCGTTTGTGCAGGAAGAACCTAAACATGGATGAAATTCAGGATATTCACGGGTTGAGATTGATTGTCGAAACTGAAGAAGACTGCTATAAAGCTCTGAAAGTCGTCCACCAGCTATGGCATGAAGTGCCTGGGAAATTCAAGGACTACATAGTTTATCCCAAGTGCAACGGGTATGTTTCTTTAAGCCTCGTTTGGTTCGTAAGATAATCCATGATTGGCTAAATAATTAGGTTTTGTTTGATGTTTCGTTAGTACAACTTTTTCGGGCTGGCCCACAATACAGAAATATGAGCTCGTATCTTAGCTTATTGGGAAATTGTGTATCGGACCTCCCCTAGTTGAGTTCTAGAGGGTGTTTGGCCACTCTTGTAAGCTATTAAAGACAATTTATAGGATGTTTAAGAGATTGTAAGCTCTTCAAAAGTGTGGTAATTTTTGAAAGAAAATCTTAAAAATTCAAAAAATAAGTTTTGTTGGAGAGAGCTTATAAGATCTTTTTAACTTATACCCTACTTTCTTATTTAACATCTTATAACTAATAAAAACAACTTATAAGTTCATTATTCAAACACTTTAAAAATTAATTCCAAAAATAAGATGTAACGAGTTAGCAGCTCTTAAAACAACTTATCAACTCTTAAAACGACTTATCAGATGTTTAAAATAAGCTTAGCTAAACACCTTCTAGTAGATAGCATAATGTTATCTTGAAAACCAAACGAGCCCTTGGTGTATACGGTAGTTTAATAATCGATTTTCCACAAGACTCCCTTAATAATAAAGGATACAATTTTACAGGTACCGTTCTCTACACACAGTAGTTGTATGCGAGGGTGGAGTTCCCCTAGAAGTTCAGATCCGAACAAAACAGATGCATGTTCAAGCAGAGTACGGATTTGCTGCTCATTGGAGATATAAAGAAGGAGACTGTAAACACTCTTCGTTTGTTCTTCAGATGGTCGAATGGGCACGTTGGGTTATTACATGGCAGTGTGAGGCAATGAGCAAAGAGAAGTCGTCCGATGGTTCTTTTGACTCGAACAAGCCACCTTGCGTGTTTCCTACACACTCTAAAGACTGCGCATTTTCTTGCAAGCCTCAATGCGTCTCCGATGGACCTGTCTATGTTATCATGATTGAAAATGATAAGGTTTGTTTCTCTTACATTATGCATCTTATATTGGCGTATGAATTTTTATGTTCGTAATTTTTTTTGTGATAGCTATTATACTCCTATCGCCGGGTTAAAAATGTGATTGATGCATGTCACAATTAATGCAATCAGTTACTATACTCAGCATCTTCCTGTCTGTCATTTTTAACACCCTTTCTCTTTATTTTTTTCTTCATGAAAGATGTGTGGGGTTTATTGCATTTAGCACCCTTGTTTTATATCGAATTTCAAAGAAACTTGCCGCAAAATAAATACTAGCAAAAACCCCGTAATGATGCAATTTTTTAAGCAAACTGCCCCTAAAAACTCAAGAGTTGCCATTTAGGGGGTTGCGTGCTAAAAAAGTGCATCATATGAGGGCTTTTGCTAGTATTTATTACACGGGGAGTTTATTAGCAATTCGATATAACACAACACAGGGGTACTAAATGCAATAAACTCAAGTTGTGTGTGTGTGTGTTTTTTTTCCTTCATTCGCCAAAATTTCTCATTTTTCAAGGTTTGAAATATTTTTTATGGTTTTGCTTTCTATTAAATATGTTTCATAATAATTTAGTAAAATCACGTGAAAATGCACGTGTCACTTACCAGTACATGGACATATATGATGCTTCACAGTTTTTTTTTTTTCAAAGTGGCGGATGTTAGGTTTCTACATGCAATACTTCGATAGTTAGAATGAGAAACATAGATATATGATTCTTGGGTTAAAATATAAGTAACATATATTTTCCGAGCAATGATTTGACGGTATACTTTTTTGGCTGGCAGATGTCTGTGCAGGAGTTTGCGGCAAACTCATCGGTGATGGATGTGCTGAAAACAGTAGGTGGAGGTAGATGGAGTTCATACGGTTTTCCGGCGAATGAGGAGCTGAGGCCAAGGCTGAACCACCACCCTATTTCCGATCCAACGTGCAAGCTCAAAATGGGGGATGTTTTTGAGTTGACTCCATCTTTGCCGGACGAATCGTTGACCGGGTATCGGGAAGAAATGCAGCGTATGTTTGATAAGGGCCTTGCTATCTCAACTACAGTTGCTTGCTAGTTACACAAGCTGACCTAAGTTTATATTCATTCTTTTGTTTGTATAATAATATCATTTCATCAAAAGAAAAAAAAATAGCCGTTTTGTACATATAACAAATTATACTAATTATGTAGCAGTAGATTCTCGAAAGTTTCTTTTATTTTATGGACTTACATTGATATATATGAAATAATATACATTCAAAGTTTTCTTGCACCAAAGAGAAAAAGAACGATTCTAACTTGTAAAGTTTCGTAAGTTTTCGTGATTAAATAAAAGTTTGTCGTTTCATATTTCGTTCGAACTCGAAAATGGATTTTGCAAGATCCATTCTCTCTCTAATATCCATCCATCACCTATAATTCGCCTCGGTTTTTTGTTCGAGTATTACAAGAACCTTGAATTGATCGTGGGAGGAAGACCGATTCTGGAATCGAGATGGAATTGAGGTCAATCACATATTATTCTCGTGATTTTTGAACATATACAAAATTAGGGGTGACGATTTCAACCTGCATTGCTCCATCTCGAACAGTTTGACAAAGTAATTATCGTCTCGTTAGCCAATTAGACGAATACATATAAGTACCTGGATACTTTAAATTGGGAGGTTACGAATTTTACGATGCAATAAACAAAATCAAGATATATAAGTACATGCACTAAACAAAATCAAGATATATAATCCCAACAATCACTTTATTAAAGTTTTAAAAAATGCCATATTCAAAGTTACAGCAACTGTAAAATACTAAAATAGTATAAATATCTCTGTAAAACAGTAAAACTGCAGTAAGCAAACATGCTGCTGCATTAATGTAGTTTTTCAAATAAATAAATAAAAATAAAAAATAAAAAATAAAAAAAAGAGGGGTGCATGCAGATTTTCTCTGCATACACTTTATTCAAGTTTTCTGTAATTAATTAAATAAATCCTAAAAATTGCTGCTTCATCACATGCCCTTGCTGGTTTAGTTTAGGAATGATCACTCTCAAAGTTTGATGTCTCTGAACTCCAGTTGCTCCTTGTCTCCGCGCTCGGCCCAGCGGAGTTCTGCAAAAATTCAAAGGGTAATTTAGTAATTTCACAATGTATAATTTCAAAATAACTGTTGTTTAAGGTTTCGACACATATATTATTATAAAACTAATAAATATGTATTGGTTTTAGGAACTCGTATGAAACAAGTAGTTTTATCAATGTATGTGTATTGTTTCGAAAGTTAATTTAAATAGGATGGAGTAATTTATTTTTGGAGAAATTATAAAGATTTTTTAAATGCGGAATATAATATAATATAATACAATACCTGATCATTGTAAGCCGGGTCAACATGATAGGATCCGGGGGACGGGCTCGGGTTATCCACCACCGCGGCGGGTGCTTGAGGCAAACCCGACGACAAATTCTGCATGAGGCAATCCATTTCTGGGAAGTTAAAGAATTCGTCAGTCGAGTGTTGCCTGGGGTTTGACGAAGAATGTGCCCCGGGCCGGATATTACTCGGGCCGGCCACCACCGACGACCCGTATTGCTCCTGAGGAGAACCATTATCATTATTATTAGGAGTCACATGCCCACCACCACTGTGTGGTGTTTCGGCCTCCGAATGGGTTTCGGATCCTTGCCGGGTCCCATGAGACTCCTGGGCAGGACCCGAGCGGGTCCTGCCCAGTTGGGGCTTCGACCCGAACCTTCTGGGTTTGGGCTGGGCCCCGTTAGCATCAGGGGACGAGTCATGATTAGCTTGGTTCGCCCTTCGCTCCAGTGGTGATCGCCAGTTGTCGTTACGACATTTCTATATATAATAAAAGAAAAATTATAATCATTCATTTCTTTTTTTTGATAATAATAATCATTCATTTCAATCTTGAAATTTATATTGTATAAATAATTTTGATTAGTAAATTATTATTTTTAAATAATTGAAATAGTGAAATAAATACCTGGAGATGACTTGCCACTTGCATTCTTGTCAGTCCAGGAACATCCATCAACTCTAGGATCTCTTTTGGGAAGCATCCTATTTTCAAACAACATTATTATTAGTTTTTTTTTTTTTTAAATTTATTTAATAAATAATCGACGTTTTAGTCGTCGATTATAATAATATATTAAAATGCGAAAATAATCGAAAAGAGAAAACATACTCCCTTCTCCGAGTTGCTCAACAGCATCCATAAACTTGGCATGGAGCTCCTGAGTCCACTCGGTGCACATCTTCCGCTTCACATTACCACTATTATTATTATTATTACTATTTTCGACCATAACATGAAAACTATCCGAGTCGCACTCGTCTTCATCGAGACCATTGATCAAGCCGTGCCTCGATATTCCCCTAATCTTCTTCTTGGCCTTCCCCTTATTGTTCTTCATCATCACATGATGAAGGTGGCCACTCACCCTCCCCATGTTGTTGTTGTTATTGCTGCTGTTGTAATAATCGGGGTTTTCGAAACCCCGGTTATTATTCATTTCCTTGAACTGATGATCATGGTTAACGCCCCGCGAACCATGGTTAGTGCTAACGATAGTGTTAGCGTTGTTAGCGTTCTTGTTGACCGAAGCTAACATTTCCCTTTCTCTTACGAGTCGCGTCTTCTCCCTTAGGACATGCTGCCATAGGCACCTCATGATATCCAACGTCGCGGGTTTCTTGATGTAGAGGAACGCCCCGTTTTCGAGTGCCCTCATCGCCATCAACGAGTTCTCTTCGGCCGACATCACTGATTTATTAACAATTAATTATTAATCAAGGGATATTGCATGCAAGAAATACAAATAATAGTAATAAATAATTCCAAAATTTAGACCTAAATAAATTTAGGTATATATGGATGGATTTTAAATCAATCGATCCAAATGCAAGAACCACAACTCTAATTAACATCCATAATCTTTGATAAATTATAAAATAATAGACAACACATTACAGTTAATTAAACCTATATAAATTAATACAGTCAAAACTAGCAAAATTCTATTAATTTAGCGAAATAAAAAATTATCGAGTTAATAGATTAGTACATTTTACCGACTCGGGACTGTAGAAAAAATATTATTTAAGCGAGGTTATTAATTTATCGAAATTCTACTGTATTTACATAATAACGAAACTTTGTTTTTAAATTAAAAAACATGCATAATAATTTCATAAAAAAATGTATTTCTGTTTTTAGATTTTCTATATATATCATCAAATTGTTTACCGAAAGGAGCCATGATTATATACAATTAATCTCATAAAAAAACATATAAACATAATTAAAAAGAAAAAAAAAATATTTCAAGAAAGTAAAGTTGGCTTACAAACAACAGGTAAACCCATGGTGGCAGCATGCTGGAGAAGTTTGAATCCATGGAGATCAGGTGAGTTCACATTCGCCATAACGACGTCGAATTTCGCCTTTCCACTTAGGAGCATCGAAATTGCAGCAGAAGCAAGTTCAACAAATGTTACTGTAAGATAAATAAATTAAAACATTAATCAACATCTATTCAAATTGTTTTTATTATATGATTACGAAAAAAAAATAAAAAAAATAGCCGTTAATAAATTAAACACGTATTTTCGTCTTTCAAGTATATTACCTTATCGAGATGACTCAAAAAACCGTAATCAACAAAGTGATTTCCAATAACATCTTTATTAGAATTGTTTGTTTGATAAAGAAATTTCGGAATAGTTCGTAACGTGTCGTATTTCAACGGTAACTAAAGGGAATGGATTTAACAATAGATTCAAAATAAAATCTATATATCAATTCAAGAAAAGCATTTAAATGATTCGAAAAGCAATTTTCAAATAATTAAATGTATCGAAAATTCAAAATGATACAGATAAGGAGAGAGATCTGCAGAAAGGGAGCAAAAGCCAACCTCAGCTCTTGAATTTATTTATACTTTCTTCGATTCTTCACAAAAGTAACGAAGACATAAATAAAATAAAAACACGAAAAAAAAGTATCGAAAAAATTCAAAATTTTAGGGTCTTGAAAAAATTCCCAAAATCAAGTAAACTAAAAATATTTGAAAATTCAACATTTCCCGGTTCTTGAAAAAATTCCAAAAAACGACGTAAAAGACACGCGCTGCGCGCACACACATACAAACACACACACGCGCGCGTATATATAGAAATAGTGTAATTACCTCGGTATTGACATATCTCGAGAAGTTTAGCGGTGCTAACGAGAGATTCAGAGTCATGGTCGACGAGCAAGACATGAATTTCATGCACCACAGACGGATGAAACGAAGAAGAAGCCGTCACCATCGGAGAAGTATTGCTGCTGCTGCTTCTTCCTTCGGTCCAAGCGTTGCCTAATTCCGGCCACATGATCGATCAACAACGCTTTATTTAATTCTCTCTGCACACAACACAAATTAATGTAATAAAATTATATTAATTAGTAGTTAATTAAGGAGAATGTGAGTAATTGAATATATAAATATAAATATTAAAAAATAATAACCAAGAATCTTTTTGCAGCCTCAGAAAATAGTGAGCAGGATGGCATGAAAATGAAGGAGAAATGTGTGTATTTATACAAGTTAATGGCATAATCTCTTGTTGAATTGACATACCATCTTAGCAAACCACCCCACCACCCCCACCCCCCTAATTACTATTTATTTTTTTTAATTTTTTTTTTTACTTCTTACAATTATTATTTTTGAATGCACAAAATCCTTACTGTCAAATTTATTTCCAAAAATGCCAGTTGTTCTTTTTTTTTTTTTGGTCTAAATTTTCTTTGACTTCTCGGATTAAGAAATTCGACGAATTTAGTATTAACCAAATATTTTTATTAGAATCGGTTGATTTTATCGAAAATTAATTAAAATAATTTAGTAGATTTTTTTAGATAATTTTTACTACACATAAATGTAAGTGACTAAATTTTATATTAACTACCAATAAAGAAACAAACAATTATAAAAAAAAATATTGTAAGAACATTAAGGAAAACAATTCATAAGAAATTAAAACCCTAATTTTGACATAGAACAAAATATATCCATTTTATTTGCATTATTTAGAATTAAAAAAATTGCTAATTAATTAAAATATCAGGTAATTTAATCAAAATCTAGTAATTATTTTCACCAACATACTATATGGATTATTTCCAAAATAGGTTTTTAAAAAAAATTGACCTGATGTAGGTCATCATCATTTTACTTTCTTTTTAATAATTTGTAAATTACATTAATATTTTCAACTTTCCTTGTAACACAATTTGTATATTCACACTATTTTGTGCCTTCAAGAATTCCTCTTACTTAAAAATATTATGTTTGAAAATTGAAATATTAGATTTTAATTTACTATATGTCGTATAATTCTCCGTATCATCATCGAGATACGACGACTAGTCAACATGACTATTAATCGAGTTAATTCATTCAAAATTGTTTGAATATATTAAATAATATTCAACGACTAATATACGCAAATATCGTAAGTAATACATATTACCGAAATTGTCGATCCGTATTGTAAATAAGTCAAACAATTAAATATATTGATAAATAAAATGCAATGAATATGAATTTTTGTTCAAATTAAATTAAAGGTGTCCTTTGCTAATAATTAATGGTACAATCTATTAGTGTTCAATTTTTATTTTCTCATATATTACACTTAAATTGAAATGGTTTAATTAATTTGAAATGATTGTAATTAGTAGAAATTAATTTGTAAGACCTCTTTTATATTGAAAATTTTGGTAGAGTTCAATTAAAAAAATAATGCTCAATATTTTAAATACTAAGCAAAAGTTGTTCATAATTTTCTTATTTATTTATCATTATATTGAAGTGCAATTTGGCATGGTAGCCTTTAAGTGGTAACTATATTAATGAAATTTGCTGCAACAGAATTTGCACGTTATTCATTTTTTTATAAATATTTACTAACTATAAACTATAGTTCAAAATAATATTATTTCTCCAAAAGTTAATTGAATTGTTGCATAATTAGCAAGTTAGTTATTTTCCAATTTTAAAGGTCTCGAGTATTTAGTTGTTAAATGTTTTTTTCTATAATTGTTGAAATTTTTGTATGATAACACGATGGATTGTTATGTACACGAGGGTAACAAGAGTTAGTAAATCACTTAATTTCAAAATGTGGTTATTATTTAATTAATTAATGGTGTAAGTTCAAGAATTTTAAATTAAAAATAATAATTTATTGAATATATATGACTATTTTGAAGTGTTCTTTATTTATTTTGATTTTTTGAGAAAATAAATCAAATGAAAATTCCTATATTATATTTTGGCTTAATTCCACTTTGCACCCTTGAAATATATCATTTTGGCACTATGTACCCTCGAAAAAAATTAATAGCACTTTGCACCCTTGAAACACAATATATCATGCATAATGCACCCCAAATCAATTTTTAAAGCTAATAATGTAATTTAATATTTTTTGTGGCAGTTTTTAGGATGACTAATGTCAAATTATTCTTTTTAATTCATCAATTATTTTGAAACTATAAAGTGCATAAATAAAAATAGATCTCATCAACATATTTAAAAATTATATTTTTTATCCCAAAAAAATATTTTACGAAAGAAAATCCTTCAGCTATTTCGTTATCAAGTTATCTGAAAATCATATTTTCTTCCAAATATTTCCACTAGTTACAATAAAAAAAATACATCAATTATATTTTCCAATCTTATCCATTTGATATCAACCCTACTTCATTCAAGGCAGTATATCTGAATTTAAATGTATAGTCCTTTTAGGGTGAATTGCATTTTGCTCCCAAAAAAATAATATGGATTGACGATTTGCACCCTTAAGTTCTGAAATTTGACGAAGTGCACCCTAAAATTAAATATCTCATGTACACTAACACCATGCGTTCATTTTCTGCGAGATTTTAGCTAAAGGATCTCCAATATATCGCGACATTTTGATTTTTAAAGGGATTTTCTTTTTTAGTGGTGTATTTTTTAAAAGAAATTAATTATCACATAATAAACAGTATACATAAGAGGAAAAAATAATTTTAATCTTTTTAGTTTTTCAATCAAATCAAAATTGTATACACATAAAAAAAAAAAAATTGATCCAATTTTATTTAAAAAAAATGGTTAAAAACATTTTGATTTCTTCCAAAAAACCAAATATATACATGATCAACATTATTATATATTTCACATACCATGAGTTGTATAATTTGAGGGTGAACTTTGCCAATTTTTTTAATTTGAGGGTGAAAATTGCCAATTTAGATCATTTCTTGGGTGCATAATGCAATGCAATTCACTCGTTATTTACATTCACCAGTTTAAGCAGTTCAAATCCAATTATACTCCAATTTATTCGAACTATATATATATCCAAGAAAATGACAAATTTCCTTGAATCAAATCTGAAAAATCAGAAACATATACATTTATTTGACACTTCACAATTAGAAAAAAAATTATTCCTAGTGAGGAACAAAAAAAAACACAACAAAATTCAGAAAAAAAAAATAAAATTAAAATTAAATCCTTAATACAAAGAACAAACAATTGAACCACAAACAATAAAATCAAAAACAAAAACAAAAACAAAAACACAAGAAAAACAAGTCATGATTGTAACATGCATAAATTTTCACTTCTAGCCGGTCCCTCCGAGCACGGACTTAAGCTTCTTCACTTGAGCATCATCAAGAAACGTAGTCTTCTCGATCAACATCGAGGGCAAATTATTCGCAAAGAGCGCGAAATCGGTGATTTGCAACCCCGGGTTAGGGCTACTAAAGCTCGCAAACGCCACCGAAGTTTTCCCACCGCCATTGATCTGAAAATGCAACAACCCTTGAGGGTACACCATAATATCCCCCTTGAGAAGCTTCTTCACGTAAACAGCGTTCGCGGAAGAAACAAATCCGGTTACTAAGGAACCCTGGACGACCAGGATTACCTCAGAGGCCCCTGGGTGGGTGTGCATTGGGATCACACCCCCAGGGGCCAAATCGAGGCGGGCTATGGACAGGCCCAGCCCGTTTAGGCCCGGGAATTGCGCGTCAAAGGCCGGTGAGACAGCGGCATTGATGATGTTGGTGGTGTTGCCGCCCTTGCGGAAGCCGGTGAACACGAAGTCTTCGGCGGTGACGTTGGCCGGGGGCTTGCAGGTGTACCCTGACGGGGTCTGTGGGCCCGTCAGGTCGGCCACGCAGAAGTCCTGCACCGAGGCGGTGGAGGTGGAGATGAGGAGAGTGAGGGTTAGAAAGATTGATAATTTAATCATTTTTCTTTTTCCTTTTTTTTAATTGAAGAATTTTGTACTTTGGTTGTTGTGGGAATTTTGAATGTGGGTTTTGGGATGGTTTATATAGAAATTTGTGATTGGTTTTTCAATGCCCAACTTGGAAAGATGGGAGTGGAATGAGAGCCACAAAGATCTTTTGTGAAGAAGAATTGCCCAAGTGATGAAGATGATGATGAACTTTTTTTTTTTCTTTTCTATTTATATTCATTTTATTTAATTATTTTAAGTAGAAAAAGACAGAAGAATGCTTTTATGATTAATAATTGAGATTCTTGCACTGATTTCCACAAGATATTGTATGTATTGAGACAAGTATTTAAGGTTAATTCATATTGAAGTGACAAGTATATTATTAAGTAAGGATTTGATTATCATTTCATTAATTGGTGTTGAGTTCTTTGCCAAATTAGTTGAGTCATTAGGGTTGCATGCATGAGAGGTAGTGATGGTAACAAACCAAATAAACATTAATTATGTCTTGATGTATTGTATCTATTTATCAACTAGCCGGAGAGTTTAAACTAAATACATAAAGATGTGGCATTTTCTATTTTTTTTTCATTTTCAAAATAAATATAAAATATATACAATCGATTTAGGTTCGAATCCCCTTACCAAATGTCGCTAGGTCGAACATGTCACACGTGATTATTTTTCAAAGCCCTGAAAACTGTGTATTGTTTGAAGGCCCAGGACGTCAGTCGCTTTGTCATTAGATATTCTCTGTCAATTCATACCGATAACCCTTAGCCCTTTACTATTGATAAACACGAGACTAACATATCAAATCCGAATACAACATAATTTAATATTATTGCAACATCAAGTTGAATTAAGTATTAACACGCGAGCGATTCGCACATCCGATTCAAGCTCGTTGGTTTCACTCATGTTCATGAGGGGTCTATTTTACAACATAATTGTTTTGATTTCTTGATCAAATTTAGGGGTGGATGATATATATAGAAATCAAATTGTTGATCACAATTATGAATAATATGATTGTGATTAGGGTTTTTGGTAACAAAAATTTGCCCTAATTTGGGAGGCAAAGAGGTGGTCCAAACAAGCACATGGAAAGGGGTAAAGTAGACCATAACAAGACAAAGTGACAGCTATAAGTGGTGTAGTGTATGTATCCATGAATGAGACAATTTAATTTCCACCGATTATTTCATTTTTTTTAGCCACTTACCTATATGATTTTGTGGACTACAAAAATTGCACTTTTTGGCTGAGGTTTATACGGGGGAGTATATGCCATTGATTAGTGATCCTTATACAAAATAGAATTTATGTTTCTTTTCTTATTTCCAAAATTCTTAAATGCAATACGCGTTTCTCTTCAAGAAAAACAAAATGCAAAACGCGTAGAGATTTTTAGTAAATATCTGACATCATCAAATATTTGCACCCAAAGGCAAAATTCAAGGGGCCACTGCCCCGATATACGTAGGAACCAACCCTCCTGTCAGTACTCGATTCTAGGACCTTGCACCAACGTGCTACCTCTAACCAGTTGGGCTATACCTATGCGTGCAACATCACCCAATACTTATATCTTACACTCGCGCACACTACATCATTCAATATTCCAAAAGACGACCCTACATTTTCATTGAAACTCAATTATATTCATAAATTAAATTATTGAATAATGTACGTAGGATTCATAAGATTTTATAAGTAGATTTGTTGGTTAATTTTGAATTTTATTGTCTTCTATAACTAAACGGGGATAAATACCTAAAAACAAAATCGGAGTGTTGATTTGTGTTACAAACTTGATTAATGAAAAATATGTTTTAAAGGTAAATTTATCGAATCAAACATGGTTTTGGCTCGAAAAGGCAACGAAAATAAATAAATAAAAAATGAGATAATAAGATGTTAGAATTTTATTTTTCATTGAAGTGACAATTCTAAAAATCCTCCTGCAATATAGCAAGTTATATATATATATATATATATATATATATATATATATATATATATATATATGGAATTTTAAAGAAACCAAGTCCAAAAAAGTTGAAAGGTCTAATTCATTAAATTAGACCAAAAAGATATAATAAAACTATTTCATACAAAAAGAGCTGAAGTCTAAGCCCAATAAGTTGTACCCAATCACTTAACAGTCCAAAATACTTATGTCATATTTTAATAAAATATATAATATCATATGAAATTATCCAAAAAATATTATATCATATGAAATAAGTCTAGTAATAAAAGCCCAATAAATTGTATGCCCAGTCGGTTAGCATGTCCTATAGGCTATATGTCATAGCTTTATGCAAAATAACAACATAACAGCAAGAACTACTGCAGTTATACACACACACACACACACACACACACACATATATATATATATACATGTTTTTTTTAAATGTAAATTAACAAAGAAATCCAGGGCCAAAAAAGATATATATGTACAACACAAATCCCTTATTCAAGTACAATATATTCACTCTGTTTCTCATCATCATCATCTTAAACAACAAAAGGTTATCCGAATTCGTTTACCCGTTTGAAGCTATCTCCAAGAAACGGCAGATCTCACAAATTATTCCACTAATCATCACATAATTAATCTTCGAAAATCATAGACGAAACAAGAATACAGTTACGGTGATTTTCAGGAGCGACTCTAACACGTCAATAAACACGTATAGTGAAATACGTGTATATGGTGGTAAATAAATCCAAGTCAGTCCCTCAAAATTTGGGAAAATGAAAAATATTTCGTCTACGAGTCATTCATCTTCTATGGCTACAAATCAAACGGTTGTTCTGTAAACTTTGGAACACGAGAAATGATAAACGCATACTCAAGAATTATCTTAATGCAGATTCTTTAACTAACCAACAACGTATTGTAATCGAATCCAAATCAAATGGCTCACACGGTCGTGATTTTGTTCTTAATGAATCGAGTTAGAATTAACTATATGTCGGACTATCACAATGACATGTAATGAACGGAAATCGTAAACTTGAAACTCGTAAATGTTAGTCGTCATAATAAATGTCAAAAGAACAAAGGCTTTTATGAAAAGGGGAACAAAGGATATGTCTTTGGAATCAACCTACGACTTTGTCAACCATTTGAATGAAAGAAACGTACAAACGAATAAGAAATCGACAAAAAAAATTTAATGCCAAGCAATGTTTACCAATTTACAAAGGGCTGTAATCCAGATGCAGATCCTTTGATCCTCAGTTCAATCGACGCCTCGCCTCGTTCTTGAGCCAGATTAGTATACTCCGCCAAACCGAATGAAAATAATGCAAAAATTAAACAAAAATCAGTTGGGAATTTTTATTTTTTGTTTCAGTAGAGGTTTTCGGGCTTTAAAATTTGCCTTTTCCTGCTCAACAGGAATGCCACCACACACACTTGCAGGATCGTGGCAACTCCGATGAACATCAACCCGATTTTCTTCCTTGGGATGAGATTTTGTTTCTTAGAGGGAAGGCTTAACTTTTTAGGTGGTGGTGGTGGGTGGAGGCGCTTCCTTGGAGATGGTGGTGGAGGTGGAGGTGGTGATTGTAGTGGGGGCGATGGTGGAGGTGGAATGAAAGGAGGCGGGGGAGGCGGAGATGCAGGAGGTGGTGGTGGAGGTGGAGGTGGCGGAGAAGGGGGGGGTGGAGGTGGGGGTGGCGGTGGAGGAGGAGGAGGAGGGGGAGAAAATTGCGGCGGCGGTGGGGGATTCACATTCTGCTGAGATTCAACAGTGAGAAAGAAGAAGCCAAACAAAAGAAAGACGATCGGAGTTAACAATGGCGAATCCATACAAATCGAGCCCAACAGTAAATTGAGTTTTTCATTCAAAGATGGATTCTTTACATCTGGCTTCAATTCAAAAACCTTCAAAAACCCCAATCCAGCAAGAACAAAATAAATGGTGGAAAATGAGGGGTTTTGGGAGAAATCAAGGGTTTCAAATTCGGAATTGAATTGCAGATGGCCTCAAGGATTCGTTGTGGTTTTGAAGATTCAGCTGAAAGCAGTCCACGATTTTTGGTTTGATTCTTCAAATACGAGAAATGGAGATTCTTCAATTTGGGGAATTAGGTTAGGGTTAGGGCATTACATTTGGATTTTCCGAACGAAATCGACAATTGAGGAATTTCTCTCTCTATTTCAAGTAAAAGAAGAATAAGTGGATTTGGGGAGGTGGATTTCTCTCTCTATTTCCATAACCCTAATTAGAATTCCTGGTTTTCGATTGTCTTCGTGATCCCCATCAATGGAGGATGAGAGAGAAAGAGGAATGGAGGAGAGAGAAAGAGGAATAGGGTACAGCGAAGAGGAGAATGGGAAGAGAAAGAAGGCGGGATTTAGCGGTAAATCTAATTTCTTTTGGGCTTTTTTGTTAATTATGTTTGCTAATCAGGTTTTTCTAATTTAATTATCAGTAATTAATATATGAGTCCTCAAAGAAAATGATGTATATTAATTATCTATACATTTATCAAAAAAATTAATTATCTATTTATTTTTCTTAGACTATTGATCATGAAAATTATTATTATTATTATTATTATTATTATTATTATTATTAACTCTATTTTGGCATAAATCTATATATAATATAAAAAGAGGATCTATGCCCTCAATGATTGACATGTGGCAAATGATGATGTCATTTATCAAAATTGCTTAGTTGGAGTTTAATTGATGAGGTGGATTCTTCAATTGATTTTGTGACATTTTTATTTAGGTATGTTTTTAAGTTCTTTCCTATTTCACATTTACACAATCATTTATTAATTACCACATATTTATATATAATATTTCAGGAATTTAATATCCTATCATTTCTAAAAATATTATATTGTTTTATAATTTTAATTTTCTAAACTATATTTTTCGCCTGTTCTTTTTTAAAAATTCAGAACACTCAATTTTTTAACGAGTATTCGATTGTTTATATCATATTTTACACACTATTTTTTAATTGCAAAATAATCACAATTATATTTAATTACTTATACACGGTTAATTAATTGTTTTTATCGCACGTTTTAATTTAATTTTATGAAATATATTTGTCGAATGTCTTTTTAAAAAAAAATAGAGCACTCATTTTTTGATGATATATATTTTCGAATTTAGTTTTTTTTAATAATAATATTCAAAAATAATAATAATACTAATAATTATTATTTTTACAAATCATTAATAATTCAAATGAATATACCAATAAATTAATTAATCACCATACATGGATTTTTTTTTGTTTAAATATTTTGCCAACTTAATGTATATGTATTAATTTTATTTTATAAATATTAATAACTAAACAACATTTAAATTTTGAAATTTATATTTTCGGATTCCAAATTTTGAATTCAAATGTTTTTTTACTATAAATTATCAATCAATTCCCCAATTTTATGTCATATAATTTGATTTCTTACCTATTTAAGTTGATTGGTTTTGATTCATATGGTTAATTAATTCATGGAAAATATCTAATCAACAATAATTGGTTAATATTATAACATTAAATGTGTATTTCCATAATAACTTACTATTTACTTTTTTATTTTATAAAACCCAAGTATAAATACCCCTTATTCCAATCCATTTTACTCACTCATACTCTCTACCCGAATTTTACACTCACATAAAAATAAAAAAAATAGGTCGTGCCCGAAATGGCTGCAAAAAGGAAATGTTGTATTTTTTTGTTGTTCATATATTCATAGTTTTACATGTTCTTTATTTTATTATTTTGATATAATGAATATGTGTAATGGTTATTTACACATATACATGTATTTAGTCTAACATGTTATTTGTTGTTTGTTCATGTTATTTTTGTAGATATTATGGATAACATCGACCTATGTGCTATGTGTGACTACATCGGTTGCGTCAAAGGAATAGAAAGAATTTCGTGAATCTCATATGAATTGTGCGAGAAAAAATACTCATTTTTTTCATTCCTTAAAAGACCGTCATCGAAGTGATAAATGTAAAACATGATATGTACGTAATTAACAATTTTCTATTCTTTATATATGTCTGTAATTATTTTTAATATTGTTTCATCAAGCTCATTTATTATATGGTTATATATGCAATTTCGCTATTTAAAATTTTATATATTTCATTTTTTAATTTGTGTAAAGTTGGATCACCTGTTCGTTTTTTGTTTTGGAAACTTATTGTTTTCGTCTTTTTTTTCTTGATTTGTTTCTATGTCAATTAATGGAATGAAATATAGTATCGAGTTGTCCTTTTTAGACACTCAATCTTAGGAAATTATACAGATATTAATGGAATAGTAATATGTCAATTAATGGAATGAAATATATTTAAATTGTCATAAATAATTTAATAAATGGTATATATATAAGTAATATATTTCAATATTATTCCATTAAGTATTTAATGAATTATTTAGTTAATAAAATGCATTATTAACTAGATTTTTATTTTTTATTACATTTATTTACGAATTAATTATTTTAATAATTTTGAATTATATAAATTACTTTATTTATTTAATTTTTGTAATGATTATTTTGCATATCAACTTATACTTTAGAAGAAAAAAAATAATGTCTTACGTTAATATAAAATAATAATTTGATTTGATTTGTTTAATATTCTTATGAAAAGTATTGATTTTAAGGATATGATTAATGACTTGAATTGATTTGTTTGATATTCTTATTAAAAGTATTAATTTTAAGGATATGACTGATCACTTGATTTTATTTGTTTATTTATTTTTTGTTATGTTTGCCTTTGTTATATACAAATTGATATTATTTAGGTTTTTATTTATTACTGTATCAAATCAATGTGTGTATTATGCTAAATAAATTATGAGCATAATATTTTGTACCTAATAAACACGTAAAAATGGTAATATTTTAAAAGCCATGCTTTCGTATCTTTAATTTGACTTTGTTATATCCATTAGCCAATTTTTACGAGGTAGATTAATTGATTTGATTGTTTGGTTATTTTTGTTATGTTTCCTTGATTATGTTATTTCTGATTCTGTTTAATACATTACTATTTAATGTTATTATCAAATCAATACATGTGATTTGAATATTTTTTTAGTAACCCCTAACAATCGCATTTATTTATTATGCATCTCAATAATTTCGGATTCTTATTAATTCTAATTGTTTGAATTTGTTTGATTTGTTCTAACCGAGTAACACAAAAAATAATAAAATATATTGTTTGCTTAAAGTTATTTTATTAACTTATTTAGTATGTGAAAATTAAGTATAAATACCATCAACACAAACTCATTTATCTCATTCTTTATCAACACATTTTGTTATGATCATGCTAAACCAAGGTCCTCCCTCACCTTAAACTTTTTTTGTCATATTTATGTTTTGTAATTTCATAATGCGATCAATATGTTTTGTAATTGAAGTGCATGCTCGCTTTGAAGCATTTTATTTATCGTCAAATGTTTATTACGTTATACGTTTATTATGTATGCGTATGTATAATAATCTAACGAATCATTGTTTTGCTTTCCTTTTAATTTTCAGATCCATGGATAAAATCATGTGTGTTATATGCGGCGACGTCCGCAAGAGAGAAGCATTGTGGCGTTGTGTAGAATGCAAAGATATGATTTAGATATATTATATGGATGGATTTTAAAAACTTTTACTTCTGTTTTTCCATCTTTGATTATACATTCAACAATTGTAAGTTTAGTTTCGATGAAGAAGAAGTTGAGTTTAATGAATATGATAATATAATAAAAAAAATACTAAAGTAACTCATGTATGTATTTCGTTATTTGTAATGGAGATTCTTATATGATTTGTTGAATATATTTAAATAAATCTTCTTTAGTTTTTATATTTTCATGTTACAATATTAATTTGTACGTATCGTAATAATTCTTTTATTTTTATCATTTTTTTAATATTTACGTAAAATATTATTAGTTTGTACGTTCATAATAATTTTTTGCTATTAATCTTTTGAATCTTTATGTACATGACATTAGATTCACTCTTCTTCATTCACATTAATTCCAATATTATGATATATTAGCAACATTATTGTGCCTAGATGTATTTGTGACAATGTTTGATTTTGTATGTCTTGAAATAGGAATAATTGCTTGTGCAAGCATATTAGAATTTAGAAGTACTGCTCTTGCAGAAAAATCTATACTAACTAGAGAAATATATAAATTATATAGCAAAAATTCTACATTGATCAGGGAAGGAAAAAACACATTAAAAATAATGTGCGAAATAGATAGTAAAATATACATATGTGAAAATGGATGTTGTCAATCCAACGAGGACATTATGCGTGTGTATTCTTTGGATCATTAAAAAACATTTTAGAGAAATTATCTATTTCCCTAAAACAAAATGGTTTGATATTCCAATGAAAAGAAATCGACGTACAATATTACGAGATTGATTTTTATGAAGTAGGTCTCGATTACGGATTTGTTGAGATTGCAAACTGAAATTTGAGGAAGATCTCTATGAGTATGAGTATTAGTATTAGTATTAGTATTAGTATTAGTATCAATATTAGTATCAGTATTAGTATTAGTATTAGTATTAGTATTAGTATTAATATTAGTATTAGTATTAGTATTAGTATTAGTATTAGTATTAGTATCAATATCAATATCAATATCAATATTAGTATCAATATTAGTATCAATATTAATTACAATATCAATATCACTATGAGTATGAGTATGAGTATGAGTATGAGTATGAATATGAGTATGGGTATGAATATGAGTACATGTATAAGTATGGGTATAAATATCAGTATCAATATTCGTATTAGTATCAGTATCAGTATAAGTATCAATATAATATCAGTATCAATATCATAATAATATCAATATCAGTATCGATATCAATATCAATATCAATATCAATATCAGTATCTGTATTAGTATTAGTATTAATATTAGTATTAGTATTAGCATTAGGATTAGTATTAGTATTAGTATTAGTATTAGTATTAGTATTAGTATTAGTATTAGTATTAGTATTAGTATTAGTATTAGTATTAATATTAGTATTAGTATTAGTATTAGTATTAGTATTAGTATTAGTATTAGTATTAGTATTAGTATTAGTATTAGTATTAGTATTAATATTAATATTAGTATTAGTATTAGTATTAGTATTAATAACAATATTAGTATTAGTATGAGCATCAATGTTAGTATCACCATCAGCATCAATATTAGTATGAGTATTAGTATTAGTATTAGTATTAGTATTAATATGAGTATGAGTAGTATCAGTATCAGTATGAGTATGAGTATCAATATCTGTATCAATATCTATATCTATATGAGTATTGGTATGAGTATTGGTATGACTATTTGTATGAATATTAGTATTAGTATTAGTATTGGTATTAGTATTGGTATTAATATTAATAATAGTATTAGTATCAGTATCGGCATCAATATGTGTATGTGTATCAGTATGTGTATTAATATTCGTATCAATATTAATATCAGTATCAGTATCAATACCAATATCAGTATTATTATCATTATTATTA